CTCATCGTTTCACCGTTTCCCCGTTTTTGGGAGGAACACTCGAATTCACATCCGTAGTCGGATGGAACGTGTGTGAATATCTCAGCCTTTAACTACGTGATATCATTGCAGCGCAGTTCGTTCACACGATAAATATGGGAATTGTGAAGCAACAGGTCCACCCATTTTAATTGCCTCTAACTGCCAGAAACATTCTTCACAGGTTTGAATATATGATACTTCCAAACAGGGGTTGTACTTTGAGGTCCATTTACTACACTCTTCAGCAATTTCTAAAGATAATTAAGCTCGCAAGCCTTTTCTGATTTTGTATACCACCCTATTTTTCTTCCCTGAACCGATATCATCTTCATAAGTTTCGCTTCGATGTATATTTGCTCTTAAAATATTCATCATTGGTTTTCTTACCATTATTAGTATCGTCTCAATTTCTTTTTTTGTCATTATTACCCACACCATCAAATCGACAAGCAATTTTGCCCTTCGTTGTTAGAAGTTAGGGTAGGGTAAATCCATACTTCTTTTGGAATATATCACTGTTACGAAGTACAATCCGAAGCAGGATGGCGCCTTAAAGATATCCATGTCGACAAGTTGATCGCTGACCATGTTGAATTTCATCGGTATCAGCTTTGTTCAGAGCTAAATGTTGAGAATCACCAGTCGTATCTCGAATTATGTTATGTATGGCTTAACGGATAAACTGTGAGAATGATGTGGGACAGAATGGATGAGGATAGTTAACTAATTGTAATCAAATACAGATGCGGATTCGGATTCGGGATGTTCTGAAGCTAGGAGCTAGTTATCAATACCGATGCTCAATACCTACTGTAGCACGTCCAAACAAATAACACGCCTCTCGCTTGGAACTGTCGAACTGAATCATTTTCCTTATCATGCGAATAAATTCAGATCCGAGAACTTGGTAACAAATCCAAATGGCAAAGCCAAACAAAACAGTTGGCTCTAACAATGCCAGGGGGTCCTTGACGAATAAATCCAGCATCTAGTACACGAACTGGAGGCGCAGTAACTGATCTAAGCAGGTACGTCTTGGTAAATCTTCCCATAAACTCAGAACGCTTTGACATCCCTCTCACTCATGCTCCAGTATCAAGCTTGGTTCTCCGCATGTAGCTATGATAGATGTCGCATATCTACCGCAGTGCTGGATTTACTAATCGATTTACAAAATGCGTTGATCGAATTTGAGAGTTCGTTATGAATTCCATGTTTACTATCGTCGGTGTCGCATTCTGGATGATCTATCCCGTATTTCCTAACCTTGTAGTTGTCGAAAATTTTCGGAAAGAGCTTGCAATAGCTGATGCATGGTGATAACAGCGATTTTTACGCTGTTGATCTAGCCAAAGTTAAACTGTATATCCTATCCTCCTCTCGATATGGCAGGAAACTTGACGCTATGTGCACATTAGCATATCTGCTTGGGTGGTAATGAAAGATATACTATTCAACGACCATATCTTTTGAAGAAAGCGCCACCGTGATGACAATTGCGCCAATGGAACATGCCGAAACATCAGTGTGGGGTTCAACTGCGAATGCTTTTGACCACCGACGATGTCTACAAATGCCTGGCGAAAAACGCAGAAATCTAGTGGCGTTTTGTTCTTTCTATGGCTGGGCTTTGTCTAGGCTGTTACTTTGTTAGTACTGAGATTATGGCTTTTACGGCTTTATGGTTGCTTCGCTTTGGTTTGGATTTGGTAGCTGTAGATAGTATATGGACGGAGACTCGGGAAACTATGCCGATGAGTATCATGCTTAGAGAAAATCAAGATGGTGGGTAAATTTCCCGGGATCTAAAAAAGGTGTAGATATGGTTTTTGGAGGCTTTGCTCAAGTTCGCCAAATGGTTGTTTTGGAAAGATAGATGTGTCCCACGGATCTGTTTTAATCAAAAGGTATGTACAATGATCCACGATGGCCTTGTTACCATCAAATAAATACAAGAATCAAACTCCTACTAATCCTCCCTTTTTCTTCTCCACATCCCCCATTCCTACATAGGTATGGTCCTCCACAAATTAAGACATAGAAGGAACATTGATCTCCGCAATCTTCCAGATCAAACCTCCCTGCTCGCTCGTAAGACCAGTGTATGTAGTTCCCTGACTAACTCCCAAAGTAGCTCCGAAGTTTGGATCCGCAGATGCAAGCGTGATAGTCGTGTTGACATATTGTTGCTTGGCAAGTGTACCCGTGCAATCGTCATTGCATTCTGTGCCGGTTCCCCATCCCGTCATAAGGCCCGAGGGATAAGAGAAATAACTTAGCTCTGCGCCGGTCTTTCCATTCGTGACAGTTTGTGTCCAGTTGCCAGAGGTAGCGTTATATCCATAATCAATCAAAACCTGATCGGTTCCAGAAACTGCAGCTCCTACACCATCGAGTTGTCCGAACCAGCCGAATAGAGAAGCGCGGACACACCATTGACCCGTAGTGGCACCACACCAGTCGTTGGAAGGCCAGGATTCGAGGGTAGTTTGAATGAGATCGCCGGTACCGTTAGACATACCTGGCCAGAGGAAAAGCTCGCCATTTTGAGTGGAAGGTGCGGTTCCCGGAATGAGAGTAGTGGTGGAACGGAGAATGTGAGAGGTCGTAGGACCAAGAGAAAGTGCACCTCCCCAGCTGTCGCGGCGAAGTAAAGCTGGTGCAGCTTGGACGGCAGCTGAAAGAGCGGTAATGAGGATGGTCGAGGTATACATATTTGACGAAGAATAAATGAGTGACTGTTGAAATGAGTGAAAAGATTTTGCTGGTGATTAAGGGCACGAAATGAAAGACTGTGGCAATTTTGGAATGAAGAGTTGAGGAAGTAGTGAAGTTGACGATACTTTTATATCGGTAACATCTAATTCCAATATCGTATTTACACTTCAAGAGGTTGTCGGACATAAACACCTTTGTGCCACTTGGAGCCCTGGATACATTGCTCTTGGCTATTTCGGACCCGCAAGACCCCATGTTTCTGTTTCATGTAACCTACCGACGGAGAATTGTTTAGCGAGTATTTAATTTATTTTGGTGACATTCTCAGTAAGGTCGCGGAGCAAACCCTTGTGGATAATAAGGTTTCCTACTCTCGACTGCTATTTTTCTGGCCAATATGTTACTTCATGTGAACGTATTGGCGAAGGAAATACTATTTGGTCAACTAGAGCCGTCGTCCTGCAACCTTAGGGGCTCCCAATCCATGAAAATAGAAGCAACAATGAAGCTTGAGCCAAAGTGCCGAGTGTTCTCCACTTGATCTACCACTAGTGTGTCTGGCGTTGAAAGGCTCAATTTCCCTATTGTCCGATTCTCCAATAATGTTTCCCATACCTTGGTAAACGTTTGCCGACAATCCAAAACTTGGGAACACTTCCAGAACAAAAACTGGTAATGATCCATCGTCACCAGTTACTCACTGGGGCGGCAATGTTCGATTCAATTTGTCAACTTTGCAATGTGCCTCGGAAGTTATTGATTTCTCCGCAGCGGTGTAAATGCTGGAACAAAATCCTAAAAGGGGGGTTATCACTCAAGAATAAGTTATGCTTAAAAGAATAGACCAGTGTTTTGAACTTCGAGGAAAGGTGTCACAGAAATTATCTGTTTACTTTATCATGCCAATTGGTCTTCACCAAGGGACAAAACTGACTACCTATAATATACCAACGAATCACTTGTAGTTTCAAGGATAGGGGTGAAGGAAATTCCAACAATGCTGTGTAATTTTCCACCCGAGAACAAGCTGAAATTTACAGAAGGAAGATACCACCAACAATTGAATGCACGGTCGATTGGCCCATTGCACGCATTAAGTATGTGCGACGTGTGCAATCGATATCAACGAAAAACGTGTTTCCGCGTACAAACCTGGCGGCAAAGCTCATAATAAAGAATGAAGCAACTGGGGGATGAAGAGACGCTGGATGAGCTTGAAATTGTCGCAGAAAAAGCAACGACATAGAAATGAACACAAAAATGTGAATAAGAAAAAAGACGGCAATTCAAATCAGATATACCTAACAGTCGTTGTCTTTTTTCCTATTGTGGTAGAAGCAGGTGAAATGTTTTTCAACATGGTAGTCCACTGAACGCACCGATGCTACACCCAGTATAACAGCTTTCATGGAGAACGCGATCTGCGTAGTGCGTATGATCAAAGTAAATATCAAAATCTTGCTATCCAGGGGCACTCAACATTAATGATAAAATCACAAGGTGTGCTGTCCAGTTGAGGAAATCGATAGAGAACTTGCAGCACTTCCGGATTTGCAGATTATACGTTCGACAGTCTTTCGAGGTCTAAGTGATGATCAAATTGTCCGAGCAACCTTCGTTTTACTTTGAGGGAAAATAGTACGAGGTACATATAGGGAGGTGACGAGTTGTATTCTCTTACTAGTTACGAAAGTAGGCTTTTCTGTTATACCGGTGTGGTTCTCCTGCGGGTTGAATTTTCGTATCGCACAGTCTTTGGAAATTATTGTTTCGTCTGTAGTGAAGATGTATTCTAGCCAAAGCGATAAATGTAAACACTCTTCAACAAATTGCTCAAAGTAAATCGCAGGAATTTGTGTTTGATAAGATAAGATGCCTTTTCTGGCTCTAACTCCAATCTGCCGTGTTTGAACATCACGGGGAGACCCACAATTAGAGGTATTTAGTGCGTCACGCCATCACCTCCGCATATTCATACACATTATGATAAGGGAGATCATGTACATAGCAATAACGAAGATTGGCTATGATTTTTGGTGTAAACGAATCTCGAACCTCGGTTTTGATAGCGATTGGCAAAAAATGAACTTAAATATTGCGTGACAATGTATCCATTATTCCGAATTCACAAGGAACTAGAACGAAATTAGAAGATGATTCAAGTGAGACTGAAATCGTCGATATACTCAACTTTGTCGAACTTTGAGTGATTGGATTGAGAAGGAAACAATTCAACGAACTTCTATTCTTCAAAAAAGAAAATGACTTCAACACAAACATATGTACCGGCATCTGTCAATCAGGCAATAACACCCCCAAAGACTCCGGAATCTTATGGGTATCAGAAGGTCTTTCACAATTGGCCTGAACCAGAGAGCGAGCCCGAGGGTATCTATTTGCACCACGAGACAGAAGTTCCCCGCCAGGAATCCGATTCAATTCATAATTCGAACCTAAACAATGTGTCGCATCAAGAAGTCTTACTCTTGCATGGCGCAAAGCAAAGATACACCCATGCAGTAGAGCAACCAATACCTTCCTTAAGGAATGATAGAGAAATGCTTGTTGCAGTGGAAGTTATCGGTTTGAATCCAATCGACTGGAAAGCTCCGTAAGTATTATTTCGTGTATTGATAGCAAATGATATCATTTAATTAACCATTCATAATAGCGACTTTGGCTTTGGACTGCCTTCTCTCCCCTGTATAAGTGGCCGAGACTTTGCTGGAAAGGTGGTAAAATCAACCCAAGTAAATTCGAGATTCAACCCTGGAGATACTGTAAGAATCTATGAATGCCGAGTAAAGTAATTGCTAACAGTTCTAGGTTATGGGAATTTCCACTGATTATCGAGATTCTCGGAAAGCTGCGTATCAACAATATGCAATCGTTTCGGACTTCAATGCTTGCAGGCTTCCAAGTACCGTAAGTCCAATCAATGCCGCACCACTTGGCGTGGCCTTTGTTGCCGCAGCTCTTGGGTTAGGTATATGTTTGGGAGTAAATTTTGCCAATGATGAGGGTAAAATTCAAGGGCCAGATCTTTTCCAGGCAATCCGATCCATATCTAGAGATTCCATTCCACAGGATGTGAGAGCAGAGTGCTTTGATAGTATCCGAGAAGATGAGAGGCCCAAACCTGGGGACTGGATAGCAATTTGGGGAGGTGAGGCAATCTCTGTAAAACTTTGGATAAATGCTAACGGTTGTAAGGTTCATCTGCTACTGGGTGTTGCGCAGTCCAACTTGCAAAACTGGCAGGACTTAGAGTTATTGCAGTGATAGACGTTGCCCGAAGTGGTGAACGTATGTTGAAACATGGTGCAGATCTCTTGGTGGATCGTTTTGACACTGAAAGGGCGATATCCATCGTCAAAGGTATCACAAAGGGAGAACTCCGCTTTGGACTTGATACGAGAGGGAAAGAGAGTACAGCCCTTCTCGCACAAACCATGCGTTCAGAGAATGGACTCGAAGGGAAAAGAGCGCATCTTGTTGGCTTGACCGGGTTGCCAAAGGAACCAACTCCAGGAGTGCTATATCATTCGGTTCCCATCAAGACATTTCATGAGGCACCGAATATCGGTGAAGGATTGATGATTTGGTTGGAAAGACTATTCGAGCAAAATAGAATAGCGACTCCTGAAATTGAAATCGCACATGGTGGGTTACAAGGCATAAATGCAGCACTTGATAGACTGAGGGATGGTTCAGTAAATGGTCCAAGAATAGTTGTACCATTATGACTGAGAAGCTAAGAAGATAAATGTATATACAATTGATGAGACATTGAAATGAATATGGATATGACGCGCCGACGAATCAAAAAGTTTGTTGGACGCGGGCGGGACGTGTAGTGGTAGTTGTGAAAAATATTCAAGATTAGATTAGATTAGATAAGGGCTAACCTTACTATGCTATTCAGAGGTTAGCATATTACCATAACTTCCTCTCATGAGTGAATCTCTTCTTTTCTTTTCGTCGTGACAAAACTCATCAATGTTCTATAATATACAGTTTGATATTGGTATCACTACTTGATCTCTGAATTCAATCATGTTTGCTCCGGATCACCGATGTTTGATCATCATAATTGTTATTATGATGGTCTTGTCGATCAATCTCTAGTCTCGGGCTGCAGTAAAGCTCTTGCACAAGGAGGGGTGCATATTGCACCATCCGTCGCCCAGGATATCAATACATAGTTTTCTCCCACGAGAAATCACGTCCTACGCAACCAAAAGTTTGGTTAAATTACCGACGGAAGTTTTCTTGTAGTTCCAATATGATGCGAGTAAAGTAAGTGCTCATATTGACGTTAGTGAGTATCAGTATGGCTACTTGAAAGCGTAGCTATCTAGTATTTCTTTCCATTTTCATTTCATTACTTTTGTTCTTCATTTTTCGTCCTTCTCCTCTGATCAAGTGTAATTCACATATTCTACTACCTCTACATATAAGCATGTCTACTACCATTACAATCAGCAGCAATAGTCCAATTGTCATTCGCCATGATGGACCCAATGGCCATGCGAATGGACTTACCAATGGATATGTTAATGGCGACAGTCAGAACAGATTCATTGAATATGCCAATAGCGTCACTACGAATGGACACAATACACATTTCACTGCCGAACCGGGACTTAACGATGCACCAGATCGTGTAAAGTTCGCTTATTGGGTCCCTAACGTTTCCGGTGGTTTGGTTATATCGAAAATTCCCCAGAGAACAAGGTATTCTTTATGTTCCCCTGAAAGATTTCTGTCACTAACGTTTGATAGTTGGGACTACGAATCGAATATGAGATATGCGCAGACTGCCGAGGAGGTTGGATTCGAATATGCTCTCACGCAAATTCGATTCATGGCAGGATATGGAGCTGTGAGATTCTTGAATACATTATTGGCACACAAACTGATATTGATTGTTTGTAGGATAACCAACATGAATCCGTCTCCTTCTCACAAGCACTTCTCCATAATACTAAGAAACTGAATGTCATCGCGGCCTTATTACCTGGACCTTGGAATCCAGCCGTCGCCGCCAAGCAAATTGCTAGCATCGATCATTATACAAATGGAAGGATATCTGTGAATATTGTTTCCGGTTGGTTCAAGCAAGAGTTCACAAGCATTGGACAATGGTGGCTGGAGCATGCTGAGCGATACAGGCGTAGTAGGGAATTCATCGAATGTTTGAAAGGGATTTGGACTTCCCCAAAATTCTCATACAAAGGGGATTTTTACCAATTCCATGATTATCCATTGTCACCAAAACCACTCAATTTACCCGGTCGACCACATCCTCTCATTTTCCAAGGTGGAAATTCAATTGATGCTCGGGAAAATGGAGCATCGGTATCCGATTATTATTTTATGAATGGCAATACCCTTGAAGGATTCCAAGAGCAAATTGCTGATGTCAAAGAGCGAGCACGAAAGCTCGGTCGTGAAGAGAAAATACATTTTGCTGTCAATGGTTTTGCTATCGTCAAAGAGACGGAAGAAGAGGCCATACAGCTACTCTCGGAAATTCAAGGCAAAGCCGACAGAGAAGCTGTGAATGCCTTTTCGGATGCAACAAAACAAGCTGGCTCATCAACAGGGAACAAGAAGGGCATGTGGGCAGATAGCAAATTTGAAGATTTGGTGCAATACAACGATGGGTTTAAAACAAAATTGATCGGAACAGCTGAACAAGTGGCCGATAGAATTTTGTTGTTGAAAAGCTTAGGAATTGATGTTGTTCTGATTGCGTTTTTGCATTATGAGGATGATATTCAGAACTTTGGTGAAAGGGTTTTACCATTGGTTCGAAAGCTGGAGAAGGAAGGAAGAGGGAAAAATGCAGAGGATGAAATTTTAAGGACTGGAGACGTTTACCGTGCAAAAAGGTGAAGATTAAGGTGTAACGTACACTCAGAAGCTGTAAGGCCTCTTTTACTTGATTTTCTTTTGAAGCACTGGTTGACTTTCAGGAGTAGAGCCAGGACAGAGTTATGAAAGCTCTAGAGGACCTGAAGGAACCTCGACCTTTGGAATGCATGTATAGGGAGTTTGGGCTCGCTACACAGTCATCAATTGGCTCTTCTCCAAGTACTTGATCGAATATGAATATTTTACGACCAAGTCCCTGTGTTTGGCGGAAAACTCTTTTCTCGTTGCCCAGCATTGAGATGTTGTTGTTGGTTGTTGGAAACATAGTAAAGGGACACTGTTGATTCATTCAATTTATATATTTAGTTTGTATTAGTACCGTCCGTCATGATGAAAATTATAAGATGAGAATGAAAAACTTATTCGGCTAACCACTATGTGACGGGAACCAACGACTTCATCTCCGCTCCGGACACGCGAGATTTCCGATATCCGAAATTCGATGTCCGAAATATCCACCAGATACACTCACATGTACATAGCTACTAAGGCCGATTTGAATCATTTAGCCAAAACCCTAAAAATAGAATTCTGTTTTAACTTAAAACATATTTAGTATTTAGATATAACGTAACGTATGGGGAACTCGGATATATGGGGAACTCGGACACTTTTTCAATTATTCTATATTATTATTATTATTATTATTAGTAATTTTCAACCGGGCCGTATAGGCGAGCCTCCCGGGGGGCATTACGGTTGGGCTAACTGCGGGGTGATCTTTTAATTTATATAATCCTCCTTTCCTAGGGATGGGGTCTCAATACCCTTAGTAGCCTTTCAAGTGATGGCTAGTGTACTTATATTTTTGTTTCCGATTCTTTGAACACCTTTGTGCACGCTTTTTAATCCCTTATATAATATTTATTTGAAAGTTGTTTTATTTTGTAAGAATAGTTTTTGTATACATTCTCTTATAATATAGTATACTGTGTGCTTCAATTTTCTTCTATATAGCTTTTCTAAATCTATCCTTTTCTATTCTCTATTTATATTCACCTAGATTGATTGATCCCTTTCCTTCTCCTTTTCTATTCTTTTAATAATATTTTAGAATATATATTTCTATAGAAATTTGTTATAGTAATAAATTTAGTGAATTTGGCTGGTGTATATATTAACTATTTCAGTAATCGTTTTTGAACTGCTTGATTGCAGAATAAGTATTTGGATTTGATATCTAGGGGTCAGGTTTTATAGATTATAAGGACTTTGTGATAATACACAATATGCTCAGGGGATTTGAATATATTATATAAATAGTAGATTGTTGTTTTCTTGTATTTAAATTGTTAATAATAGTTTTCGAAGTTGCTATATACTGAGTGAATCGTTAGTATGTAATAAGGAGTTGTTTATAAGAGTTCTAGTTTCTTAGAGTATTTGTTTGTACTCTTTGAATCCCATTTCTAGTATTGTTTGGAGATTATTAGTATTTGTTTGATTCATTACACTTATGCTACTAATTCTATAGCAGTTTTTACTATAGAACAGATATCGCTTATTATAGATCGATTTGTATATTCTAAGGCTGATCTTTTTATATCTTTATTAGCGAATATATCTACTTACTCATTCCCCTTGATTCCTATATAGCCTAGTGATTATTTGATCTGGATCCGATATATTTACATCAGTTTTATAGCATTTAAGGAAAGCCTATTATAATATAGTAGAGACTGTGTCTCTCATTCCTTATATCACTGATATACTATTGATATATATACAGATTTCCATTTGTTTTATGCTAATGATATTGCTGATTATTACTTGGAGGCCTTGGTATACCCTAATCGCTTCTGCATTGAATATATGAGAGTTGTAATACAATTCATTGTTTCCTTTGTATACTACCATCTATCCTCTATATACGATATATCCATATCCTACTCGCCTACTATCCTTATCAGTCTATTCCAATCCATCAAAGAATATATAATTTGATCATATATGCGCTTGTTCCACTATTCCTGGAATTGCTCTGCCACTACCCTCTTTTGTAAGACCTCTAGTGAGATCCGTTTGACACTTTAATATATAGTAGAGCCCTACTAAAGTTGTCTCCTTAATTCAGGAAAGGCACTAGCTGATCACCTAAACCTTTGTTCTGGCTGACTGCAATTGGCCTTCCCTGCTACCGGAGGAGTAGGTGGCTCTTATCCCTCGGTGATAAAGAGGGTGTTTTGGATCAATAGTTTGGGCACAAAATTATTCTATATGCGATCTTGTTTTACAAGCCATACAATCTTTCAATTTCAATTCCGAATTATTGAATTATTCTCTAACTCTTCTTTTTTAATCTCTTTTTCTAATTCTTCAATTAAATATTTATATAATTATCCTTATAGCTTTTCTCCTTCAGTTTTTTTCTTTATTTCATATTATTTTCAATATTTTTTTAGTACTAAAAACAAATTGATTTTATAATTTGACTCTTTTACCTTTAGTTTTCTTCTTCGAATTTCAATTACCTCCTGAATATCAAAAAGCTGTTTTCGAAATAGAACTATCTTAGCATTTTGAGATCTACAAGCCTAGTCATTCTCTTAATATATCAACAAGTTGATAATATAAAAGAATTATTATTTACTAGAACTATATTAAAGATCTGATTTATTTGTTTTAGTTTTATTCTATCTGAAAAAGAACTCCTAAATATAAACAAATCTAGATTTTAATTGGAAGTTTTTATTTGTAAAATAAAAGATTACTGAAAAAAATTAAATAATAATAAATTAAGTATTTTTCGTAAAACAAAAGATACTAAACTAGTTTCTTTCTAGCTAGCTTTAATATTAAAAGAATTTAATACTTTTTTTTAATATTTTGAAAAAGTTTTATCTATTCAGTTTTTTAGATTTGCTTTATATTAGTTTGAGAATATTGATTAATCTTTAAAGTATAATATTGTTTTATTGATTTATATATTACAATATTAAATAATTAAAGCAAGTAAGAATAATAAGAAGATAATATAAGTAAATCGATATTATTTTTTATATAAAAAGCAATAAAACTATCTATAATATAGCTTGAATAGCTATTCATAATTAAAAATTGAGATTGGTTATTTAATACTTTTTTGGATTCTGATTCGAAAACCCTTTTTAATTATTCTAATCTATAGCTATTTGAGATTTATCTATTTATATTAATAAAGAACTACTAGCTTTGAAATATATCCTTTAAAATCTATACAGAATTCGTATTCTGAATCTTGAAAATCATTATAGATAATAGAGTATTTCTAATTATATTAATACATTCAAATACAATTATTCATTCTTACTTGTTAACTATAACTTTTCAATTCGATTTTTGAATAGAATCAATTATTATATAAGTATTTTGAATACTTTCAATTCCAAATCCAATTTTATCTATATTATACATATTATCTAATTCATATTTTTACTTAATGAAATATATATGAAATATATCAAATCAAATCTAAATATTCTCTGGAATTACTTCTTTAACCCGATTAAACTCTAATTAACATAAATAACATATTTTTAGTTCTGAATATTGTTTTTGAAATCTAATAAATCCATTTGTAGTGTCAACGGGATCACTTCTGGGAGTTTTCAGAAGCTTTACCGCTGAGCTAAACGCCCAAAGACTAGGAGATAGAATGGAAGTTCTACCTTACTCTCACATTTATAGCAGGACAGGGACGGACAGAAAGGGCTTAGTGTCCCACCCGTGACAATTCGTCTTTTATAGTTATCAATAGGTCAATATAATTTAAAGTAAATTGTATATCTTCTAAAGTATATTTTTCATATTTATTTTAGATATTCTAATAATATTATAAACTCATCGGAATCTGTATTATATATAATATATACTTTTACTTTTATTTTGTTTCTTAAATTCACACAAATACCTCGAAACCATCTTTCTAGCTTTTACAATCTATAAAAAATACTCTCTTTCTTAATATACTTTTAATAAAAATATCGTTTTATAATATTTCTAAAAAAGAGATTAATAAATAATAAATAAATATCCTAGAAGTATATATATATATTGGAATTGAATAATTCAAGTCTTAATAATACGAATATTATATAAAGATTTGTTTATAAGTATTAATATTCTGAAGCTATATCTTATATGAATCTTTTTCTTAAAAAGTGTTAGATAATCTATATATATAGAATAATATTTAATTAAAAAAGATTAATTAAATAATATATTAAAAATAAATAGAAGATATTATATAAGTCTATAAAAGCAATTAATATATCGATTTCTATTGATATAAATTGATTCAAAAAAAGATAAGTTTTAATAAGGTTATTATTATTTTCTAAAATTACTTAATTTTAGGTGTAGATTGAAAAGAAAAGAGAATTATTAATAAAATTAAAATTAAAAACGATTTTATGAATTAATTATATAATTTGATATTAATATTTTCAAATTAATTTAAAGATTTTCTATAAATTGATTGATAGATTTAATTATTTATTTATATTAAGTATATTTGTTTATTATAAGATTATATATACTAAAATGATTATATAAGTTTTATAAAAGTAATAAAAGTAAGGTTTATTTTTATATTAAAATCTAGAATATAATATTATTATTATTATATTCAAAAAATAAAAATATATTATAATTAATTACTATAATAATATACAAAGGAAAATACACTCTATACAATACAATCATTTTTTCAAGATTTCTATATATATATATATATATTATACAAATTATAGAAATTTTTATTGTGTAAGGCAGAATTCTATTTTTAGGGTTTTGGCCAAATGATTCAAATCGGCCTCAGTAATAGCAGTAAACTAATTGACGTCGAACTCGAATAGCAAAGTCAAGAATCCTAGTATCCCAATAACATCAATAATAATAATTCCACGTGCCACATCCCTTGTTTGAAAGTTGAAACAACCTTGGAGATCTAGAATTCGAAGCATCCAGGATGGCACGGATATTTGTTGAAATGGCTGTGCTGTGCTGTCGGGTCTGTCTGGTCTGTCACTTTAAGTCTTTGAACCCCCATACGTGCATCTTCCCTGCCAAGAATCAGATGAACTTTATATTTCTTCCACCATTCTTTCACGATGAGTTATTTATTTTCACTCGATATTTAGAGTTGTGAAGAGGTACTGCTTATACTTTCCCATCACAATCGTATTCACAGTCGTATTCACAATCACATCACGAGATAGGAAGGTCGCGAGAGCATCGTGAGGGCGACCACATCTCTCAGTGGTCATCGAGTGCGTACAAAGTCTAAACAATGGATACGGTCGACCGACCACATGGAGATGGACCAGCTGGAGAGACGGTTAAAATGCGCACCGAGATTTAATCGTGGAGTATCGAGCTATCGAAAGTTAAAAATGATGGGAGAACTCCGCTTTGGGATAAGAAGCAACCGCAAAAAGTATATTTTTCTCTCCTTCCGCTGCGGACTTGGTTCTTTGCGTCGGGGACGATGTTGGAAAAAGCTTGTTGGGAATCACGGAGAGATCGAGACTCGTTTGGACATGAGGCTACCTAGGTAGGCGAGGTAGGTTTGTACGATGTACCTAGGTATGCTTCGATGACTAATGTGCGGAAGGATTTCCAAGGTTGGGTAGATTAAGGGGTAACGGCTTAGCTCGTAAGGACAGCCCTGGTGTAGATAGGTGGCTAGCTATTTGGCGGTTGTGGCTGAAAAGAGATGGGAATCGTAGCTAGGAATCACAGGTAGGTATGTATGTATGTATGTATGTATGTATGTATTTATGTATTGTACAATATTCTGAAAGGGAATCGAGTCAATCGACTTCGTCAGTCAGACCTAGGTATGTTTGTATGGTATGCATGGAGTATCAATCGATACGGAGTGGAAATCACATTCAACGATTAATTACTAGGGAATTAATCTATCGAGATTGATTTCTATAGTACACCAATTAATTCATCAATTCATCAAAACACCAAAACAAAGACAAAAATCCAGAAATCCCAACCAACGCCACTCACTTACCTTACCTAGGTACTCAATCATCTCGCATTTCTAAAATTGCAAGAAGAAGGAATACTCAACTACCCAGGTATTACTTACTTAGGTCCCTTGGTAGGTATCACAGCATGTCAGCGCTTATCACAAATTCATCCCAGAAACAATCCTGCCCCGCAAAATCATCGTTCCCACCCCTGAGAGCATCATTTCAATTACCTAGGTATATTAATTAATTTTTAAATATGCATCAATCTTCATCAATTCTCATTCTTATAAAAAGTATCAGCTTTCCGTTGTCTGGGTTTCTTCTCCTCTCCTTTTCCATTACTCTTCATCACATTTTGATTCGAGATTCATTATAGAAGCTTTGGTCTTCAATACTCCCATTCTTGTCCATATATATACATTCTTTTGAAAAGATATCTATCATTCACATACAGCCTTGACCGTCTCAATTAACTGTACTCTTTCAATCGATCGATTTCGTTCCCTAAAAACAAAACTCGATCAACATGGGTTTCTCAATCAAGAACTTGGCTACTGCCTCTACCTTCCTCTCCATTGCTCAAGGAGCCGTGATGGGAAAACGTGCTCTCTCGGGTCAAGCTACTACTTATGGTGGTAATACTCACGGAGGAGCATGTTCATTCTCCACCTATACCCTTCCATCCAATATGTTTGGTACTGCCCTCTCCGATTCCAACTGGGCTACTGCTTCGCAGTGTGGTCGTTGTGTTTCGGTTACCGGTCCTTCAGGTAACTCTATCACTGCTATGGTATGTATCCTATATCCCCGAGTTCCTATCCATCATTTCCAAAACACCAAACCCAAGACTAACACCCCCCCCTCAGATCACAGACGAGTGTCCCGGCTGCGGAACCAACCACTTGGATCTCTACACCACCGCTTTCACCTCCCTCGCTCCCCTTTCCAAAGGAATCATCGACGTAACCTGGAACTACGTCGACTGTCCCATCACCAGCCCCCTCCAACTCCACCTCAAAGAAGGTGTCTCGGCCTACTGGTTCAGCATGCAAGTCGTCAACGCCGCCGAGGGAGTTTCCAAGCTCGACGTTTCCACCGACGGCGGAAAAACCTGGCAACCAACCAACCGCACCACCTACAACTACTTCGAACACTCCGCTGGCTACGGCTCCAAAGTCAACGTCCGTGTCACCGGTTTGAGCGGAAAGACCGTCACCGTTAACAACGTCGCCGTCACTCCCGGAAACCTCGTTAGCGCAAGCGGAAACTTGGGTTCGGGCTTGGCCTCAAAGTCTGTTGCTTCCGATGCCGTTGTCGCCAAGGAGGCGGTTGTAGATGCTTCAACTACGAGCGCTACCCCTGCCGCGGTCGTTACACCTGCTTCTTCATCTGTGGCCGAGGTTTCTACTTCTGCTGCTGTCGTTGAACCAGTTTCTTCCTCCTCCTCCTCTTCCATCGCGGAAGTATCCACCAGCGCAGCTGTCACTATCCCATCTGCAAGCGCAACCCAAAGTGTTGTGTGGGTTGACTCTGATGAGTGCGAAACTAAGTAGAGTGGCTGGGTATTGCTATGTGAGGGCGTTATTCATGCTTTGGAGCGAGAGCGAAGATTTCATGAGCTGATGAATATGCATGTATGGATTCATGGATTAGGACATGGATTGGATATAACTCTGTTTATCTGTATCTGTGTTTGTGTCTGTCTCTATGTTTGCGTTGTGTCTATGGAGGAAATGGAAAATGGGAAATGTATTTTCATTCGTTGTATATATTCATTTATAAATAAATAAAAATGTTCGTGAAGAATTAATTGAGTTTAGAGGAATACTTACTCGGAAATGTTATGCGTCCATATATCTATCTATGTATGTATCAGGAATATATAAAATATACATTGGATTCATAGCTTTCCTCTGTTCAATATACTACCTCGATATAAATGAAATAAACTTGTTACATAGGTACCTATCTAAAGAGTTTTTTAAAGTAAGTAACTAACCGAATGTTGGATTGATTGATTGATTGATTGATTAGTTAATTATCTTTCTTTCAAGTATAGTATTAGATAGAAAAAGAGATATTTATATATTCAGTTCAGATATAATACTACGGGGATCCACTGAACACCTAGCCGTAATCATTTAATTCATTTGATTTATTCCCGAATCCATCATATCACATCACTGGCTAACTACCTAGTAGGTATTACATCGATACCATGATATAGATTTTGTTGATGTTGATGTTGATGTTGATGTTAATATTAATATACTCTATTATTTTATTAGTATCTAGATAGATAGCTACGTATAATGTATTCTGATTAATGAGGTTGAGTTTATATATCTAGATATCTAGGTATTTGAAGATGGCATTTATTATACTTTATCGGATTTATTAAATTGAAGTATATAGGTATGATGTAGTGATTATTATTTAGGTAGGAGTGTAGTGTTAATCTTGAATACTATCTTGAGAGCTAGGATTATATATAGAAGGGAGTAATTCTTGAATAGAAACTAGGTAATATGAGTCTAGTGTTCTCGCTAAATCTATTATAATAAAACTAAACTAAGACGCTAAAGATAGATGAAAAAAGCTATCGTTATCATCTCGTTAAGACGACAATAAGATGAGAATTTTAGATATATATATAAAGAGATTTAGTACTTAGAAAAGATCTCCTCGCTATGTCTTTACTAAGAATTAATCTTTAAAGTAAATCGTTTCTTTTGATTGCTTTAATGCTCGAATATAGACTTTTAATAACAATGCTATTGCTAAGCTACTGAGCCCTTTTTCTATTCGTTCAGATACTCACCTACTGTAGAATTATTCGTATCACTGAGATAGTGGGGACATGAAGGATATCTCCCCTAGCATTAGAGTGTGGTTGCTCAAGCACATACTATTGGATTCCTATGATTCTAAAAAAAAATATACATATTTTACGGCACGCAGGGGACAATCAATGGTAGAGAATTGACTGAGTGTTTAACTAGAGTAGTTGGAAATTGGCAGTGTTACATATATTTCTCATGATGTCAATATATTGGAAAAACATTGGTGTGGAAGCAAAGTATGTTAGACAATCAATGGCATTTGTCTAAAGATCTAGAATAAGGTACAGAAGAAGAGAATGACAACTTCCTAGCCAGGAAGTTAGAGAGGTAATACGGTATATACATCGGCTCGAAGAGACACCGCAGATAATTTGTTGTTCTCGCAGTGAATCCTTTTCCTCCAACAAAGATTAGTACAATGGTCGCTTATAAGCGTCGAAAGTGTAGTTCCAAGTGTCGTAAGAAGCTTGGTCAAAGACACAATCCTGGGTAGTACCATTGTTGATCCAGAGAGGACGAAGAGGCCAAGCACAGATTTGAGCGTTCTTTCCTTTGTATTCACCAGCCAAGTGGGTGGCATTGAGTGTGACGGGAACCGTATCATTTTCCACCCACTCAATCAAACCCTGCAAGTTGGTTTGAGGGAAAGGACCATTCTCTTGTTCGCTGTTGATGGCACAGTGAGCGGCACCGGGAATCATGTACAAGCGGTACCATTCTTTCAAAGCTTCAGTACTGTCGTTAAACGATAGACCAGGATACATGATGCTGCGGACAGACTCATAGTAGTGAACTGAAGAAGCGGCGGGCACACTAGGATCGGATTCACCGTGGAAATGAAGAATTTTACCTCCGTAGTTGTAGATATCAGTGAGATCCGGGTTGTTGGTCTGAAGTGAATCCTCATATCTGGTCCAACCTTGAACCATCCATTGTACCAAGGTATCATAGGTGACGTTATCCAAAGAAGAAAGGTTATCAAGATCCTGTAATTCAAGGAACCTAGCGACCCATTCACCACCAGCTCCAGCAATGCTGAGTTCGTAGGAATCGGTATCGGTATCGGAATTGTAGGTTGTTGCTGCATCTTCGAAATCGGCAGATGGCTGATACGAGAGATAGGCACGTCGGCCTTGAGAATCATGTAACCCATCGAGAATGGTTTGCGCAACCTCTACTACCTTGGCTGATATAGTACCGTTTGTAGCTGGATTGGTAGACCCTCCCATCACTTGCCTCTTGCGTTTACCAAAACCAAGACCAAGACCAACAGCGGAGCTAGCAGCACAACTGTAAGGCAAACCGATAGTTTGGTTGATATTGTAATGAAGCTTGCAAAGATCTGTTCGAGATACCACACCATCAACCTTGCCATCGAGGCCATCGCAGTTAGAGATGGTTTCGTTAACAATTAGTTCAAGCTCGCATGCTGATGGGTAATAATCAAGTGTTTGCTCGACAACATTTGAGAAGACATGGTTGACTTGCTGTTGGCCATATCGGAAAGCTGGTGCACCGGCAATAATGCCGTCGTAAATATCACCCCAGCGTTGAGCTTGACTCCATCCCTCACGACCACCATCGGAACAACCTTGATAATAAGCGTAGAGCTTATTATCGCCCATGTTGTAAAATTGCTTAGTAAATTCTTTTCCAAGCGTGGTCAACTCGCCAATAGCTTGATAACCAAACATGTAGGTGGGCTCCCAGTTGATTGTACCGTTGTCGAGAAGGAATACGGAGTCGAATACAGTGTTAAATCCACCATCAGTGAGACCAGATGCAGCACCATACATAACACCTCCAACAAGGTTAGTAGTACCCGAATTGATGCTGTAAGCCATTCCTCCAGATGAGAGCCATCTGTTCTCGAAGTTCTATGGGGCTGGCAACCAAAGAGTTAGAACCACATTGTCCCCACGGCCATTGTGGGTATAGGCGAAGGTTACGTTGCAGAAATTGACAGTAGCATCAGGGAAGAAAGTTTGTCCACTGACAGAAGTGTTGTAGACAACGTTTGCTGTAACCGATGATGGGATGACAGAACTCCCGAATAATGTCCCGTTCGCGGGTAGAGCCGCTTTAGCGACGGCTGTTGTGCAGATGTCGGTCAGAGATTCTGCAGAAGCGGTGGCAGCAGCGGCTGCGAATCCGAAAAGTGACTTGCGCATTTTAAAGAGAGAAAAATCCAATGTGGAATATCCAATTGGATGAAAGTAAAGATTGTGTTGAGCTTCTAGCTATCGAGAAAAGAATGTAGATGTAATGAGAGGAAAGCTAGATCTCTTGCTGAAGCTATTCCTTTGGTTCAAACGAAAGTCTTTATACTTCATTAAAGGTGCCATCAAGGTCAACGAACCGGATCTTAGCAGGGGCATTATGTCTAGTGAAGACTCTTCTTTTCACCGTAAAGTGAAGCAACGCATTGTAATACGTATGCTTCATTAAAGAGACAAATGAAAATACACTAGATGGATGGTAAATGGCATCAAAATTGATGAGTAGGAACAAATCCAGACTATAATGATGACCCCTATGACGAAGCTTTTCGTCAGCTATAGATACACCTGGGCGACAAGTCTACTGTCTAGATGCTACTCGCAATCTTCAGGGATACTATTGCGCGCTAGACTACGGTCTGAGTGGGCATTAATCTATAGTCCACTTCTTGCATATGACATTCTCAATCGGAAAGTCTAACAGCGCCCTCAAAAAAGTCTAATCAACCTTGGAACTCCTTTCTGACCTGGGTACCTCTATCTTAGGTTAAAGCTGCCATGTGGGTGATCTCCGTGATTTAAAGCAAGCTTAGTTCAAAGAACCTATTAAGATCTTTATTCTTAATATGAGACCTTAGACACATGTTGAATATTATTTTTATTTCCATAGCGTAACACGCGAGAAGCTTCCTTCCTTCAAGAAAAGAACTGCTTCAGTTGTGCGACTCCTTGTATTGAATTTCTTGGAGTATCAACTAGACCTGTAATAGTTAAGTCAAACAAAAGCTCTTCTCGAATTTGTCTTTATACTAAGTCAGATATATAAACTCGAGCAAGCAAAACCACTCAATTTATAAAGTTTTATATAATCGATTAATGACTTATTCGATTAATGATTGATTCATGAACAAAATCTTGATAAAAATCAGACAGCGACTAGATTCCTCAAACTATTGTTTGGACTCATGAATCGGTGTCAATCGCACCCTGCTCGATGTCGCTAGGTCACGTGTATGAAGATCTCGCGTACATAACTAGCACATAAAAGTTCTCTGAGGTCCGAGTTCTGCGAATTACAATTGTCCCGATCTGCATATTTATCTATGTCAGTTCTTCACATAGCTCATCCACATTTAACTCCCCGGATTAAAACTGGATCCAGCGAGCCATTGTCATTTCTCATGGGCTATTATAAATTTGTGTACGCGGTGTATCGCGGATTAGTGTTTTCGATGGGTGGTCAATCACTACCTCCCGAAAACCCCAACCCAAACCGTTATTAGTGGGGTTTCAAATCCGACCAGCTCGTCAAAACATTGGCGCCAATAATCGCATTTAGATTGGCATCAACGCTTAATTATGGGATAGGGATTGACCAGTGCCGTCTCTAGCAATGCAGATATAACGGCGCACTTACGTTCGTCTATTGTTGAGGTATATCGCCAAGGAAAAATCCATACTACGGAGGTTCTGTGGCATACTAGTGAACGCCACAGCCCCCAGTCACTCACTCTCATGTGACCAATCACGAAGCAAAATCTCGGAGCTCTTATAATGTCCGTGGCGTGTTTGTGTATTTTGTTATAAGTTGATTATTTGTCTATCCATTTCTCTAAAAATAAGCCTACCCAATATGGTATGCTCTCGAGCTACCAGCAAATTTGAAGGACCAGTCGCACGTATCATTTTGAATCTCTCCTATGCAAAGATATTCAATTGAATGACTTGAGTTGCTACTGCCAAGTTTGAAAGTATTCATGAATTGCGGTACATCAGAATTTAAGCAATTCTCAGAATTTCCAACTATCTAGTGAAGGTACTACTCTGCAGACTCTATTTGTTCAGCAATGGTTCTCAGCCATCTTTCAACTTTGTACAGTGACGTTATATACGAATTGTGATATCAGAGGGGTATTCGGGTGACTTAGGGGAACATGGGAGAAGGTGAATCACGCATATTTCACATGTGAGGAGCAAAACTCGCTACTAGTTATCATTTACGACTTGTAGCAGTATAAACGCGAAACGAACTATGTACTTTGAGTCCTTAAAACATGTTGTCATCAGATGAACTATGTGCAGTAAGTTGACACCGAGAGCTTGTAGGTGTTTGGGGTTTCTTGCTGATTCCCGGTTGAACTTTCAATACTTCAAGCTATCTCTCATTATTCCCTTCGGGATCCTAATAGGACATGTAGTAGTTCTTCTGAGCATCTTTTCTACTATATCCCTTCTCGAGACCTGCAGATTGTCGAGCGAAAAATTTAGAGCTGTATAGAGATCTTGAAGGACTAATGCGCGGTTTTCCTGTCTTGAAGCCTAAGAAGGTATTCAATTCAGGTGTCAATGGTATCTAGATGGAGGTAAGAGAGATCACAGTGTTATTCTTCACTTGAAAATTGAAGGTCGCTGCATCTGGCAAGGTACATGTATAGTCTAGTTGTTGCTTTCGACATCCACAAGACTCACTCTTTCCTCTTAACTTTCTCCCCCATCAACAACTTTTTAACACTTTCTCGTAGCTGTGCTTTCCACACAGAAGGAGAACACTAATCTTTCAAATACTCTTATCTCAATCTCATGTTATGTAGGTTTACAGCATATACATACAAGAGTGAAATGGAATATTATCACACAACTGGGAATCTACATACTCGTATTCTGATACTAATAATGAACAATATTTTCCCTCACCATTTGGTATGATCCACTTCATCGAATAAATACGATATCAATCAATATAACATACCCAATTTCTATATCCACATTTCAACAGCATTATTCACATAAAATCCATCCACATAACCAACAGTATAATCCCGAGTTGAAGTTATCGGGTCGAGACAGCTCCCCACCACAAAAAACCCGCGCACGTACCATCCCCACCTCGCCTAACATCCACCACCAAAAAAATCCCCACCATCACCGTCCAACCTCAAAAATTCTTCAAAAAAACTTCGAAAAGATAGATGGAATCAAACCATCGTTGTTTTCAATCCAAGACGACGTCTTTGGCGGTGCTGGGAATCGAACCCAGATTGAAACGGGTCAATCGTGATATATCCTGTAAAGGATGAGCCACAACGTCACGTGCTACCATTACACCACACCACCTGCTGAGAGGCTGTTTTTGATGTCTGAGGTGGAGAATCTTGGGTATATGCATACAAAATGTTGTTGGTGGGGTAGGGAAAATCAGGCGGGAGGTATTGGCGGGAGGGGAATTGGTGCTAGAGAGAGATGTGGGGTGGACTTTGATACTGAGATTGACACCTGATAAGTTGCATATCATATAAACCTCATATGAACCTTTTAGAATCTTTTAAATACTTCAACTCCAACTCAATAGTTAAACGCTTTGAATGTTCCAGTTGAGATTGGACAACCGGTTCTTCTAAAGTCCCAGATGAGACCGAACAATTACATTCTTCTAATATTCCAATTCAGATTGAATAATTATAGTGTTTAATCTTTCAATCAAAGTTAAACAATTACAATCTTTTAATCTCCTAGTTCAGATTGAATATACGAATGCTTAGGGATCTATTATAGTGTATAAATCAATTACATTCCATCACTGGATGTCATACACTCATTATCATCACTTATGACTGCCATATCTCTAGCTCAGATTTACCAACCGTTATCCGCTTTGGTTTCACAGTATCTCCCAGATCTACTCCAGGAGTATTGAACCCTCCAAGTCCACACCGGCCTCATCCTCTTCCAAATCCTCCGACTCGTCCTCGATAATAATCTTGCGTCTACTTCTCCTGCCCATGCGCTTCTTATTTCCTTCTCCGGCTTCCTCTTGCTCTTCCTCTTCCGCTCGTCTTTCATCCTCTTGCTCTTCCCCTTCCGCTCGTCTTCCGTCCTCTTGCTCTTCCTCTTCCGCTCCATCTTCCGCCCTCTTGCATTTTCCTGTCTTCTCATTCCGAACCTTGTCCGATTTTCCAGACGCTTCTTGGTTTTCACCCCCCATATCCTTAACTTGATGATATATATTCTTGAAATACCCATGTATGCCTGTGCGACCTTTTCTTCATCCCAACTTTCTAGAAGCTCCTTCAAATTGTTTTCGCTCTCATCGGCTTCTTCGAATGTTGCCATCAAGTAATCTCTCCACTTCAGACTCCACTCTCTGTAATTCTTTCTGTTCTGTTTCTCTGCCATAATTTCCAGGGCTTCTACGATCACCTCCTGTCGTGCCTGTAACACATCTGCTATAACATTGAATTGATTGTACAGCATCAATAAACATCTTGGGCTTCTTCTGATATAGGTGGGATCGAGGGCTGGTGTGATAGAAGTGGATTCAGGCATTCTTTCGGATCAAGATTATGAATAACATTTAAGAACGAAACCAGACCTAGGAGGTTTATAAATAATTGATCTTCATTGCATAGATGAGATATAAAAAGTAACCTTTTGTTAGATACTGGATTTACTCAAATATGTGAGAGGGATGTATGTAAGAGAGATGTATTCGAGAGAGAAGGCGCCTTTTTACTATAGGTAGTAACCCATCGCCCCACATCAAAAAGTGAAGCTTCAAAATGGGAAGGAACCTCTTTCCATTTGAGGGGATGTAAAATGAAATTTGATTACGTAATTCTTTCAACATATATAAAATAATTTACAAATGATATCTGTTGGTATCAACTTGGTTGATAAGTGTAAGTACTTTAGTCTATTATGGTTGTATTCGTTCTTTATTATTATTATCTATGGGAAGCTAGTTGGAAACACTATAGAAGGGCTGCCTAGCTAAGGGTCTGAAATAGCAAGCCTGCGAAACATAGTCAGTCTTGTTATATAAAAAAGATCTGGCAAGGTAATGCGAAACAGCTATTAGTTATAAGACATAGCATATAATAATAACAATAGCAATACTATCTATATAATTCGAGAGAACAGATGTGTGTATCGGTTTATAATCGGATACTATAAAGTAAAGAGTATAATAAAAATATTAGATAGACTTAAAAAGCAAACAGGAATAGAGGTATAAAGGAATGGTTTTGATCCTGATCAGAACTTCCGAAAATAATCATACAATAAATAGTTTAATATAATTAAAAGATTCTATAAAAACCTAATACTAATAGCTTTATCACAAGTGAATCGGAAAAGTGTTTGTAAATATAATGAACCTACTTTGTATTATAATATATTCTAGAAAATAATTATAATATAATTCATTTCTATCAAAACAAAAGGAACCAAAATATCATTAAATTGGGTTCCAGGACATACATCAGTTAAAGGAAATGAGCTAGCAGATAAACTAACAAAGAAAGCAACCACTATACGATCTACCTCAAATGAGACAAGTTTTGGATTATTAAGCATGATTATCAAAGAATACTCTTCTGATCAATGGCTTACCACCCTTAATCAATACAAGCTCAGATTAAATCAATCTCCATCAATATATTCAAAGCTATTTCTATGGAAAATAGGATTGAAAATCAAGCTACCAAGTGGAACCAATCGAAATACTGCTAGCACATTCTTTTCAACTCAAATTAGGTTATGGATATATCAAATCCTATCTATATCGTTTCAAACTCACTAATAACAAATATATATATAGCAATATTAAGGCATTACAACACCTTCTTATTAATTGTCCTATATACAAAGCAAAAAGAAAAGAAATCTTTAAGAAAATCCTATTATCCAAAATCACTATACAATTCCTATTTCACACAAAAGCAGATACTGAATTAGCTATCAAATTCATCAACATCACCAAAATCGCTACAAAGGCATGACATCTAGCAAGGGCTTGTGAGCAAAAAGTAATAAAGGAAGGAGTAATAGTGGAAAAGGAAAGAGGAGAAGAGAATGAAGAAGAAGTAGTTGGGGAAATAAGAAAGGGATTTGATCTCCTTATAATTTCTTGATTTTATGATTTTCTTATTATATATAATGCATATAATAAGCGGGCATTGTTTCTCAATATTTATTTTCACTTTTTCAATTAGATTATATTTAATATTGTAAATTAAAAAGTTATCTGTTAGGCCCTTAGGGTCTAGCTGTCCTATATAGTCTTGGACTGAAGATGGACGTAAATTCAATCAATCAATCAATCAATCAATCAACATAGCATTTAGCAAGGACTTTTGAACAAAAAGTAATAGAAGAAGGAGTAGTAGTGGAAGAGGAGAGAAAAGAAAAGAATGAAAAAGAAGCAGTTGAGGAAATAAAAGAGGGGTTTGATCTCCTCACAATTTCTTGATTTTCAAAATTTTCTTATTATATGTAATACATATAATGAGCAGGCATTGTTCCCCAGCATTTATTTTCACTTCCCTAATTAGATTATATCCAATATTGTAAATTAAAAAGTTACCCGTTAGGCCCTTAGGGCCTAGCCGTCCTATATAGTCTTGGACTGAAGATGGACGTTAATAAAATCAATCAATCAATCAATGACTGTCTCGTAATTGTTCTTTGACTGTTTGATCATCTGGGAATATAGATATATATTCTGTGCTTACTTGCTGTATTTTCCTTTGACTGGTTGATCATCTGTCAATATAAATATATTCTTACTTACTTACTGTGTTTGAGTAGCTGTCTTGGTCTTATCTACCGAAGAGGTTGTTCTTCCTCAATTCGAAAGCATTTTGTGGTTTTCACTACTTCTCCCCTCCTCCATTTCGAAGAGGTTGTTGTGTTGACAGATGAGAATAATGCATTGTATTAATGTTAAGACTTGTTCAAAACAGAACATTAACAAACCAAATGGCTTGTTCCGAGTTAGTTGTATAAAGGTAGTCATCTCAACATACACGAGGACTATGGTTAGCTCAAATTGTTATGTCAACATTCAATTTACACGTCAAATTAAATATTGTTGTCGGGTACAGCAACCTCGAACTCTTCAACTCTCCATAACCATCACAAAGGACAACAAAAAGAAACTTGACGCGTAGCTAAATAGCTTGATATTACCGCAGATAGTCTCATCTCTCTTTCTAAATATTGGAACTTCTCTTTTATCCCGCCAGCTGTCATCCAACGGGCCCTTTCGCGCTCACAACCTGAATTCACGTCGCCATCAGGGATGCGAAGACTCAACACCTGTACGCGGTGCATCCTACGAACCTCCAGCTCTCTCTTGAGAGTCTGTAGAGCTAAGATTGAGTCGCAGATGGAATTGGAAGAATTGGAAGGAGAGAGGTGTTAGAGATATAGCGAAGGATTATATTACGATTTTATGACAGCAATATCTATGAAAAGTTGAATACTAGCTTTAGACGCGGATATGAAGGTTACGGAAGCCCCGGTCAGATTCAACATCTATTATCGATTATTATTTTACAGAAGTAAAATACACAGTAGGTCTCTTCTCTTTAGAAGAGTCTTTTCGATATAAAGCTTGCCGTTACTCTACTTATATTACAATCCCTTTTTTTATACTCTTTAGCTTTCAGTTATTTGAATATTACGATAACACAATATAGAGAATGCTATTGCCTTCAAATTAATACTATACTTTGGGTATTAATACAATACAACATTTTTCCTTTTAATTTTCGAATTTTCGAATTTTCCGAATTGATTTGTATGTAGACTTAGGGCTCGGCTCTGCCCCACTATTGTCAATAGTTTCGATTATATATATTTAATAAGAGCTGAAGAATATCAAGCTTATGAAAATATATAAAGAGTTAATTTAAAAGAAATAAAGATAGAGAAGAGTAATGTTTTTTACTACTATTTTATTAGCAAGAGGACCCTTTACTATATTGGAGGCAATTTGGGAGGGGATAACTCTTGCTTTTTATAGAAAGGGAGGAATAGCAAATTGGATTTAGGATTTTAAAAAAAAAGAGAAATTGGATATTGGGATACTTTAATTGGATTAGGGGAGGGGAAGAGTCAGGAAGAAAGTGTCTCAGAGGATGAAAACAATTATCTCTATTTGCACTCCGAATAGAGATCGGGCTTAGTTCCCCAGCATTCGTTTTTACTCCCTCAAATTGAATATATCTACTGTAGATATCCAATAGTATTTGCTAGGCCCCTATAGCCTAGCCGTTCTAAATAGTCATGGATTGAAAAAGGACGTTAATAAAATCAATCAATCAATCAATCAATCAATCAATCACGTCGCCATCTGATTCGAATTTCTATCAGCTCCGTGGCGCAATACTACAAACGTCCACTGTCATCATATTTCTCCTCGCACAATGTCTGCCCATTTACCAGTGGGTACGATAGATTATAACCTCTGGTTTAAAGACCAACAGTACGGCCCGGGAGCCTATCCCACCGTCGATACCCTGACCTTTCTTTGCCGTCAGGATGCAGAAATCTACAATGCGAAGATACGGTGTGAGTAAACCTCTGATATTATCTCCAATCCTTCAAGACAAAACGCTAATCAGTCATTTTACAGTTCAAGAAGAGACCATGAGAGTTCATGAGACAATTGCACCAACAACAGCAACAGCCTACGATATCACGGATCTCAGTCGCCATGTCTTCGGCTATTGGGAAATGATGCTTGATATAGCAAAAGCGGATCCTGTTTGGGCGGCCAGTTACGGAGGCATTAATACGCCGCGCTCCTTTAATAGTAGTTGGACTCGCGCAAAGCAGCATATCAGGGAGCTTATAATTAAGAACCAACGTGCCGCAGATCAGGCTGCTGCCGATGCTGCCGATGGTGTTGAGGAGGTTGATAATGAAGGGGAAGAGGAAAGTGAGGAAGAAGGCGACGAAGAAAGTGACGAAGAAAGTGTTGGCAGCGTTATCGTTGTCGATTACGACAATGATGGGGAAGAGAGTAACGACGAAGAAATCTATGAGGATAACGAAGGAGAAGATAGCGATGAAGAAATGGATGGCAGCAGTGTCATCGTTGTGGAGTATAGCGATGAAGAAGAAGAGAGCTACGACGTTGAAATGTATCAAGGATACGAAGAAGAGGAAGAGGAAGAAGAAGATAGCGATGGGGAATTGGTGGGTTTTTGGTGGGATCATACGAAGGATACTTGTGGTTTGATATTTAGTCTCGATTCCTCTTCTTTATAGTCGTTTTGAAATTCTTACGAAAAGCAAATATATACCATTCGAAACCCGGAATTGACTACTTCTTGAATCGTGTTATCGATTGCCAACTTGAATTGCCAGATTTATAGAGCATTCTTTGCGAGGAAAAAATTAGGTGCGTGCGCCCCGACGATGGTTGTTAATGTGAATGAACAAGATTAGACGATAGTCTACCGTTATTGGCATTGAGTAGAGGTATTGTAGAGCTGTACAACCTTTAGCTGAGAGGATTGCGCTTTTATTTTCATATCAGAGTTATAAGTTAATAGTTCTTTGTCCCTAAACGTGCTCTTTCCTCAAATTTGGGCTTCTAAATTTGAGAGACAGACGGTAGCTTATAATGTAGGGAGCTCGCTAAAGAAGTTAAAGACTACCGAAAACTTTAAAATGATACGAAATATCTCTAATCCAACATCAGAATACTTTCTCAATGAGTTTACACTTCACTATTGGTGGCTCTGATGAATCAACATGTCAGACCTCCGTCTTTCCTCTAAATGATAGGGTTGAAATAATCAGGTGACGTTCTTTTTCTTTCAAATCTTGAGAGGGACAATGAACTCGCGTTTCTCTGAATTAACACAGTAGCAGTCGGTTAATCACTTAATATTGCTATAAAGATAGATTTTACATCTTCGTATCTTGAATAGAGATTAACAACCAACCATTGATTTTTGGATGGTGTTTACCAGATTGACATTTGATTCGAAAGATTACAATCGGCCAATCCTTCAAAAAGCTCAACGCTCTTCCACCTCCACGTCAGATTGGAATTACCTATCCCCATATGGTTGAAGCGAATTACTTCGTGTGAGTAAGACATAAGAAAAGTCCGGACTTGGATAATCCTTTCGTGCGCTATCTTCCCCTGTGGTGGCAGAGTTAATACCTATGTACGAATAAAATGTCAGTATAAATCCCCATATAAATATTTGATACGTACATTATTGAATTCAAGCTTTTTTCGTCCCTAACAAAATACATTCTTCATCATCAACGAATATTTCCAGTTCAAAATGACAACCGTTTATTATTGACATTTTAATAATAGAAAAAAAGAAAATAAAGGCGTTCCAGCTGGAGAACCTTTATGATTTTTAGGAAAGGTGGACGGAAGGGGAGCGAGCGTGGGAGCTAAAAGGAGGTCAAAGAGATGAATAGGAGCTAGGAGGAGAAGGGGAACGAGCAGGGGAGCGAGCGTAGAAGCTAAAGGGTGAGAGAGGTGAACGGAAGGTATTAGCCGAAAATCTAAAGGGGGGTCTGTTCACAGATCACTCATTTCACTTTCGATTTATTCTTCAACCAAAAGCTTTACCACTGTACTATACAGTACAGAATGTACTGTTTAAACAAGAATCTTAATCAATTCTAATATATATAATTATATTTTGAAATCGATTATTAATCGAATTCAATACAAGTAAACTTTTTGACTTGTAAATAGCCTTAGGCTAAAACTTTCGAAAATCAAGAAATTTCGAAAAATCAATAAATTTCGAAAATTTCTCTAAGTCCCTTTAAAGTAAAAATTTCTAATCATGTATATATATAAAAGTTAATCACATTAATACTGTATGACCCATTTTTTCAATATAATATTAACTATTGAAATTTTTAATACAATTGACGAAATGATTTATTCGTCAACCACGGATTCTGCCACCACAGGGTTCCTATCGTACACATCGGTCTCTTTATACTTATGCAATAATTCACAAAGTATGATGGAAAGTAGAATAATGGATTGAACCAGTCGTCGAAGTAGAGAGCCCGAGCGACCACCTTTATATACGTACCGGAAAATGACCCTAGTGCTCTCTTCCATAATTAACTGCAGTGAAAGTGACGCTGCTTCATGTATGAAGAATGAATCTTACAATAAAGGTATGTGTTCGCTCTACAACGACGTCTATTTGGGAAACAAGATTTAGGTCGCTTTTGACCTTGAATCGAACCACGACTTCGAACTCTGACAATCATCATTAGACTTCCTTGGTTCTCTGTCTACTTTCAAGGGAGGTCACTGACATCCTTGTATCATGGTTTCCTGCCGTGCGTACTGCAGTCTGACACTGAGGAGATTATATCTCAAAATTCAACTTGAACATTAAATGGGTTAATTGCTGAACGCAATGGGATCATTCAAAAATCATGCTAGCACTATACTGAATGACAGTGAAATAGGTATGGATAGTTATTAACTCCCCCCAACAATCTACCATAAAAATGAGGCAGAAGTCGATTTCATAATAGGTGACGAGAAAGTGAATGCTGCTCGCCACAAAAGTGGTATGACGACAAAACAGGCACAAGCAAAGAAATACATTCAAAAAAAATCCAATCAGAATACTAAACACTCATTACAGTAAAATAAACCCTTCCTGAGTGGTCACAAAAAACAATCAGAAGAGGGGCTGTGGATCCTGCCCCTCTGCGGGTCTCGCACTTGACAACTACCAATCCAATTTGTACAATCCAACCTATTTTCCTGCATGAACTCCACATCTCATGAGTGGGCCTTCAAACGATAAATAGATATCAAATTAACATGCATTCTTCCAACAACAATAACTACCAGGGGCTGTAACTCAGTGGTAGAGTGCCTCGTTTGCATTGTCAGATATCTTTACAGATACATCTGGTAAGTTTCGATGAAGTCCAGGGTTCGACTCCCTGCCGCTCCAATATCATTTTGCATTTCTTTTCTTCTTTTTAGCTTCAAAATTGAGGAAGTTGTTGAGTGAGACTTTTTGTAGACTGAAAACTTTTGATTTTACTTGCGAATGAAGCGAATGGGTAAAGGGGTCGTGGCTTTCGATTGGAAAGGAAGGAAGGAACAATTTCTTTTCTGGATATGAGTCCTGCTCTATCTAATTCCTTGGTTGGTATTGTTTCTTCGAGTGTTCATCGATTGGTGCATGATGTGTACGAAGTATTCCGAAGCCCCGGAATAATATCCCCGCGGAAAGGTTCGGAGTATCATTACACCGTCTAATTTCGTTGGTGGTTCCATTTCATGGATTTTTTGCAAAAGAATTTTCATAGTTGTGCGTGGGGTTGGCTGGGGATGTTTCGGAGATAGGATCATAAAGATGGAACGCAAAGATAGAAAAGCGCTCAATTGAAAGTTCATCGACGGGTGTATATACCGGCATTGAGGAAGTAGTACTAGAAGAAGTAGCATAAACGATGGTAGGTAGGCTTGCTAGATATATCTTGAAAAATTCAATGAGGTACTCATCCAGGAGCTGCAATGATCACGAACAGGCCGATTGTAAAAAGATATGCACATGACAAAGGTCCCACAAGAAATGATCCAAAGAAAAGGAATGACATCGATACAGATAGTTGTGGTGTGTCAGTCTACATGAGTGGGATGTACAGTAGTATACGGAGTACAGTACCGGTAGTTTTCCTCAACAAGAACGTTCAATAAATTACAGGTAAATGATTCCAAACTAGGTATGCTATAAAATAAACAGGAGACTCATGAGCCAATTGATCCCACCAGAGTCAAAAATCAACACAAAATCCTTTTTACCAGCCAGTCTGAGGTTGACGACTGGGAGAACCTGAACATTTAGATGACCATGAACATTGAGGAAAACGTGAAAAGTCAAAGAGCATCAAATTAGAATTAGAAATATATTATTTTCAACCTGACAAGCTTTTACCTGCCCATCCAGCCACCATCCACCGTAAGAATATCTCCAGAGATATATGCACTTCCCTTGCTTGCCAAGAAAACGACACTCGCCTTAAAATCATCTGGGGAACCCCATCGACCCGCCGGTATTCTTTCACTAATACTCCTCAATCGTTCTGGGTTGGCCAACAAGGCAGTATTCATCTCCGTCTCGATATATCCCGGAGCAATGGCATTGACATTTATTCCTTTCGATGCCCATTCGTTCGATAGAGCTTTGGTAAGCTGTCCCACCGCACCTTTCGATGCGGCATATGCTGGAACAGTAAGACCACCTTGGAATGTAAGAAGACTAGCAAAATTGATGATGCTACCTCTTCGGCCAGTAATGGCAGATGGTTCGAGCTTCAACATGTGTGCACCAACATCGCGACAGAGGGTAAAGACAGTATTGAGGTTGACTTGGATGACCTAAACATGATAACTATTAGCACAATCTACCTTCTCAATTGTGGAAGATAGGATGCTCACCTCATTCCAGTCATTATCCGGAAACTCGTGGCTCGGATGGCGTCTTTGAATTCCAGCACAATTTACCAAGATATGTATCGAGTGTCCATCTTTCAGGATGGTAGAAGTGATGCCGGCGACTTCTTCCTGCGATGCAAGGTCCGCGGTGTATATAGGAGCTTTCCTGCCCAGCGCCTCAACGGCTTTCTGGGTCTCGAGATTCTCACGACTGCGCTGTATGAAATATTTCGTCAGTACGTACGTACGCACGATACAGTTGGAATCCGGTGTAAAGAGAGCTGATTACCTGTATCAAGATCAAATCTGCTCCTGCTTCAGCAAGTGCTATGCAAACAGCTTGTCCAATGCCTCGAGTACCACCAGTAACGAGTGCGGTTTGACCTTCCAAAGAGAAATACGCTGATAAAGCTGTGGCTGCCATTGTATTCTTTTTGTACCCGAAGGTGGTATTTTGTGAAGCCTCACATGGTTTGACAGTTGGGGATTAATACTTAGTACTTAAGTTCGTATATCAATTGAACAATTAAGTAATTTGCTCTTGTGCTCCCACTCTCCACTCCGGTTTGCGGCCTGAGATATTAAAACGTGGGGGTAGCTCTCCGATTTTCTCCACAGTGGGGTTGGTAATACCGTCATAACCTGCTTGTTGATTTGTCGGCATAAAAGAAGTCATTTTAGTACAAAGACTAGCCAATGTACTTAATTACTGCAAAATGTCACTCAAGTACACATTTTGATCTTGGAATGAAATCAGGATTATCATCATTCAATATTTTCTACAAAAAAGTACTCAACATCATGGCATCTACTAATAACATCGAAAGTGGTGAGCAAAGAGAAGTGAAAGCTTCCGTGCTTCATGGCGCCAAAGATTTGAAAGTTGTAAGTTAGGTGTTCTCAAGTAATTTCTTTTGAAAGGTAAGAATACGATGGCTGACATTCGAAAAGGAAACTCGTACTCTAGGTGTACCTGAACCAACAGAGGTACAAGTCGCCGTGCAAGCTACTGGTCTCTGCGGATCTGATCTACATTACTATAATTATTATAGAAATGGAGATATTATCGTCCGGGAGCCTATGACTCTTGGACATGAATCTGCTGGAATTGTTACTGCTGTTGGCTCCGAAGTCAGTAATCTAAAGGTTGGAGACCGCGTTGCGTTAGAAGTTGGACTTCCTTGCAAGACTTGTGATTTATGTGTAAATGGAAGATACAATATCTGCAAAGAAATGAAGTTTAGAAGTTCAGCGAAAGCATTCCCACATCTCCAAGGAACTCTGCAAGAACGGATTAACCATCCTGCAGCATATTGTCATTTGTAGGTACTGATTCTGTATCGTTTTCTGCCACGTGCTCACTGGGGTAGATTACCTGCAGATGTATCTCTTGAGCTCGGTGCCGTGCTCGAACCTCTCAGTGTCGCAATACACGGTACAAGACGAGCGGCTTTGCCAAAGGGCAAGACGGTGCTCATCTTCGGTGCCGGAGCAGTGGGCCTTTTATGCGCGGCAATGTGCAAAGTTACCGGTGCAAAGAATGTTGTTATAGCAGATATACAGCCCGACCGATTAGATTTTGCAGTTCAGAACAATTTCGCAGATGCCAAGCTTCTGGTTCCAATGACCAGACCTGAGACAATTGAGGATAAGTTGACTTTTGCGAAAGAGGTCGCCGAATTGATCAAGAAAGCATCTGGAGAAGGGGACATTGATGCAGTATTTGAATGCACGGGTGTTGAATCATGCCTCCAGGCTTCGATATATGTGAGTCAAAAGATGTTTTATGGGATGAGAAGATTGATGCTAACGCTCGTCAGGCAACTAAACCAGGCGGAAAGATAATGCTAATTGGAATGGGAACGCCCATACAAACATTACCAATTTCTGCAGCTGCTCTACGAGAAGTTGATCTCGTCGGTGTTTTCAGATATGCAAACACTTATGCAGATGCCATCAAACTTGTCGCGAGCAAAGATCCTTTGCTCCCTGATCTCTCAAAGTTAATCACGCAGAGGTACAAGGGATTCGAGAGTATTCCGGAAGCATTTGCAATGGCTGGTAAAGTCAGGGATGAGAATGGTAGCTTGGTTTTGAAAGTTCTCGTTGACACCACTGAGTCATAAAAGGATGTATTCTATCTGGAGCCATTCCTTACCCATGGCCAGATAATACACCTTGCTTAATGCAACTTTCCAAAGATCGACAATAGCGAGGATTTAGAGTAGGTCCTGATTTGCTGGTGGAGTTCAGTTTTTCTGGTATAGAGTTAGAAGAATTTAATTAATCATATCTTGTGAGCTATGTTAAAAGTTAGAGGGTCATTTTGGTCGACGACGGCTTTAGATCACATCTGGGACTTGATTTAATGGAAATGATTTATTTGATAGATCAGTTTTGATGTTAAAGTTTTAATCAAATAATCTATAAAAGTTTCGTGGCTTAAGTGTGGACAAGTCTGTGACTGCGTTTGATTTTATCTAGCGGTAGGTAGCCAGAGAACGCTCCCCTCTGGAGAATCTCGACCCAGCTCACTAAAGCATGGATTTCCCCTTCTAATCAATAATGCAAAAAGATTCCAGCTTCACCAGCAAAGTGGACTTGCTTTTGCACAAGTCCTTTGAGAAAAGAATTGCTTATATGACGGATCAATATCACAGCATCGGAGAATAAAAAGAGAGAGAATGACATACCCTACATGATCTGAAAGCAGAGGTCGACTTCACAAATTATGAAATAAAAATAGAGATATGGCTTAGCTAGGTGCATGTAGATAGAAAGATTACCAGAATGTATCTTGGGACGATATATCTATGCTGTTAGTATCACTAGTAGGTCATGTGCACCTCCGAGTAAGACATATGAGCGGAGAGTGCAGCATATACGACAATGGGCCGAAATAGAGTCAGCGAGGCTTGAATATTGCTCCTCTTATGCTAAATTATCATTCCCAGTTGACAATTCGTGGTCTGATACGAACATGATTCAACGAATATTCCGATAGAGTCAACTTGCTGAAACAGTATAGAATCGATCAGTTGTTTGTCAATCCCACACTGAGATGGTGGACATGTGGAACCGGCTCGGACCTACCGGAATATCTGGGGAAGGGAAGCTTCCCGTACTGAATTCCGAGGTATGATGTAGTAAATGGAAAATGGTAGAAAGTGGAAAACTGGGTGGAAATGGGCATTCATCATAGTGATGCTTGGGAAAAGTAAACAAGAAACTGCCATTGAGCCATGAAGTAATAGAATCATTCATCAACAACGCTTTGCATCATTCTTTGAGTGAATCTTTGCATCTGTACCAGTATTTATGTTATTCATAGGAATAAGGACTCTGTAGCGGCAAACCTTCTTGTTCGACGTCAATAGTGCAAAGGATTGTCGTCACAAGCCAAGACCGAAAGATCATCTCATCGGCAATACTTTCTCATGCCTCTTGACCATTCTGCCAAGCTCGGCTTTGGATTCGGGGTCGATTCACTAGGTATGAGACGCATATTGGTGGTTGAGTAATTGATATTCTAGACTTCTGGACTATCATGTTGCAACACGTCAGAATGATGCGTAATGAATCCAGTTAGATGGGCTTTGATAAGAATTATCAAGAACTAACCCACAATTCTCCCACAATTCTCATATTGTAAACGGAGGATTTACCTGGCATCGTGAGAACATGTGATAATAACGTTTACTTGGGGTAAAACTCTAAAGTAGAACAAAGTTGCCAAGAACGACGGATATGGATAAGGGCATTAATTGTCGATTCCCAGTCCCAGAACGGACAGACGGTAACTGCCAATTCGGTAGTTGAGAGAAGAAAGTAGAGATAAGACAGAAGTAAGAATTTCAGAAATTACCACTTTATCAACCGATCTAGTAATTTTTCTATTTCCATCGCACAATACTCCCCACATATATCTCCGCATGGACCGCTGATCATTTAACCTTGGAAGATCTAGGGGACCGGCAAAAAGTCCGAGGAATTACTCCCTCTGCACCCAATTAAGCAATTTTCCTTAATATTGACAACTGATCATCAACAAGATCTATAAATCTGTAACCCCAGTTTCCACATTTCCCTGTCAATCCCCCTCACCCCCCTCATACCCCCCACGCATTAACTAGGTAGTTTCTTTGCCATGACCCGAAGAAATGTTTATTCCCCTTTCTAATGGAACTCAATACATAGTTAACATCTTGGCAATGATGATCCAGGTACCTAGGTATGATCTCGTAATAGCTCCCATTTAAAAGGTCGGGAGAAGTATAAGTACCTAGGTACCTACAGCACATTCAAGAAACTTTTCCTAGTGTTTGGAATCTCAAAAATCACTCCAGAAGACCTCATAATTTTTAATCATCCACCTTCCTCTACTTACTTCACCATTATTGAGCATGTCTTCAGTAGTTGCAGTCAGGGGACAAGAGGTTAAGTCTTCAATTGCACCAGCCGAGGAGCAATATACTACCCCCTTTCAAAATGGAGTAGATATGCAAGCACTGGAGAGAATCTCCGACAAAATCGACGAGCTCAACGTCATCAAAGCCGATATGAAAAAGCCTGGCGCTGAGAAAGATAAGACGCTATTTCGACGATATGATGGGTCGCAAGACCATGTTATAATCTTTTACACAGAGTATGAATCTGCCATTTTCCTTTTCAGCATATACAGATCGTATATTCTAACCCTGTAATAGACAACATCTAAAACAAACCGTGGAATACAATATCACGGCTCGTCAAGTATTCGCCAATAGGGAACCGGGTAAAATGTCAGTAATGGACGCTGCGAAGCTTCTCGATAAATTTGTTGATCAATCAGACCCTGATACTCAGGTTGGTCAACTGGAGCACCTTTTTCAGACATCCGAGGCGGCAAGACTGGCTGGACGGCCCGATTGGTACGTCGTGACTGGTTTTGTTCATGACCTGGGCAAACTATGGTGCCTCATGGGTGGCCAAGGACAGTGGGATACTGTCGGAGATACCTTCATAGTAGGCGCTGAATACTCGAAGCGGATCGAATTATATGAGAGTCTCAAAGACAACCCTGACTTCAATGATCCTCGCTATAACACCAAATACGGTATCTACTCTCCAGGTTGTGGATTAGACAATGTCATGATGTCATGGGGTCATGATGAATTTCTTTACCAGGTTCTCAAAGACCAATCTACTCTTCCACCTGAGGCCTTGGCAATGATCCGCTATCATTCGTTCTACCCATGGCATCGTGAGAATGAATATTCACATTTCGAGAATGATCATGACCGAGCGATGAAGCCATGGGTACAGGATTTCAACCAGTTTGATCTTTACAGCAAGAGTGATAGCCCTCCTGATGTTGAAAAGCTTACTGTAAGACCGACTTCAATTGCACATCAATATCTAAGCTAATTCTTGATAGCCAATGTACGAGAAAATGATAGCCAAGTATTTTCCTGCTGAGGTCAACTTTGGAAAACTTTTAAAGCGACCAACGAGCAGCAGCAACAGTAGTTGAGCGAAAGTGCTTGAGGTATGACCACCTATGTACAACGCCGATAATCAAGCTAACTCTTTTGCAGCTATATTACTTCGACATGATGAGGAATGACTTTCACGCTTTACGAAATGATGAAAACTCTCGACACAAATAGCGGGCGAAATATCATGGATAAATTTTTGGATTGGGCAGGTGATTTTTTGTACTGCATAGACTTGAACGGCGATCTAAAAGGAATTAAGAAATTACTTGGGTATCATTCCCGGCCACATGAACTTGAACTGTGGCTTGATTCGAAATGTGAGGTTTGAATGTTTGGTGTCTTTATAGTGTAATGATGAGAGGGGTGTTAGGGCTAGTTTGGATGTAAAATCCATGCTGAATCCACTGAAATAATCTGCACTTTATGCCATTGCGGATTTTGCGGTAGTATCAATCCGCTTCAAAAAGAGCGGATTATTAATCTGTGGTTTTATAGTTTGGATATCAAATCCGTCAAATAATCTGTGGTTTTTTTAGAATATTCAATTTAAACTTTAATTAGATATTAAAATTCTATATTTAAAATTGAGAATTATGTAAAAAGTTTTAATAAAGTAATAATCTTGAAAAAGTGCTTAGAATTGGAAAAGAAATATATTTTGATTTTATTTTTCTTTTTTCTTTTCTTTTCAAAGAAAGAATCTTTTTTTGAAGTATTTTTGAAGCTATTTTCTATATATAAAATTATTTCAATGGTTAATGATGTAATCATTATTCAAAACATCTCGAAAGCGTTTAGGAAGTCGAAAATTATTAACAACAATAGTAATTGAAGATTTATATCTGTACAAAAAAAAGATAAAAGATTTCGAACTCGAAGTCCCTCTTCCCTAATTCATCATTCCAAACGAAAACCTAAACCTATAGCAAAAGTAATCGAATCTCAAAGCTAATTTCAAGATTATGATACCTTCTTCTTTTTTTCTATTAAAGATTTATTATTTAGTTCCTTTTATAATAACGATACTATCTTTAATTAGAAGAAGATATTCTTTACAAAAAAGAAAAGCTATATATAGGTATTTGATTCAAATAAAGCTTATTTTAATTATATTAATTTATAATATATAGCAGGATTCCGAAACCGATAAGAAGCTTTTAATAAATATCGATACAGATAGTGATAAGAACGATGATGATGAGAGGGATGTTGATAATAGTTATAATATTAATCAAGATCCAAAACATAATACCTGTAGTGGTTCAGAAAATGAAAAGAATTCCTTTATCAATACCATTGAAAGGGAGAATAAATTAATGAATCCGGAAACTGAAATTGAAGATATTTCAAAGAAATCTACGAATTAGTTTAAATAGAAACCCTACGAAAAGCTTCTTTTAAATTTAATACAAAGTCATTTATAGAAGATTAATCAACAACCAGATCAATTCATTAAATAAAGAACACTTCATTATAATCAATTTGTATAAACTATTACTTTAAAACACAAAACACACACTAATAGTAATAAGAATCTAATTAGTAATCAAATTAAAAAAAAAATCAATTCAGTATAAATATCCTCTTTTTTTATTGTTTATTTGATCTAATTGATTTGATTTAAATCAAGGGATGTTATGTAGAGTGTCGATATCTTCTTAATCTATCTAATTAGAGCATTAGATTTAATAAAAAGAACGACACTATGCAGCCTTATACACCTGATTATCTATAAAAAACGTTTTTATAAGTAAGCGAAACTAATAATCGAAAATATCATTAATATCGAAGTTACTATATAGAAAACTGGTCGATTCTTCAATTTCTATTCGAAATTTGTATAGCTAATAGTAAATTTGTATATCACTCTACAGCTTTAATGTAACAAACAATTATTTCTTCAGATAAAGAGGATAATCTTGCTGATTCAATACGCTTTATACCTTTTTCAGATAAAAGTGTTAAAAAATGGAATAAATATAGTTCTGGGATATACAAGGTAAGGAATTCATATTTTTAAGATATATTTTATTATTAATTGATTTATAATTAGAAACAAAGCAATATAAACAATCTATTGCAAGCTATACACCATCAAAAAGGCCTCGAAAAACTGTTTCTTTTGAAGTTACAGATAATTTATTTTATATTAATGAATCTTTAAAAGATTTTAATAAATCGAGAAACTATTCTAACGCCTTATATATTCAAATCGATAACCCACTGTCCTTTTGGTACCAAGCATACTATATAATCACATAAAACTATCCTAGCAAATATAAGTCCCTAGGGGCTGATATTGCTTTCAAGCTTGTTGATTTCCTACAATATTTGATATCTAATATTCATCAATCTTATAGTAAGCTACTGATATTTATGCGTATAGGCCCATTTCAAGTAGAGTTTGTGGATAAGATTTGTAGAGAGCTTAAAAAGCAGTACGAAAAGGAAAATAATGAAATACCTCTATTATCCGTTTCTTTATAATAAGCTTTAAATGAAAAATGGCTTTTAAGTTCTAATAACTTTTGATTTGGTAGTTTTATTTACTCTATTCTCTTTATTGTATATTTTTATTAATATAACCTTTGTATTTATTCAATTAAATATTAATATTATATTTTTCAATATCTTTATCTTATTTGATATTAATAATATATAAGTACGAATGATATCTATTCACTAGTCCTAGGTATATGAAATAAAGAATATAAGTATGTAGTGGCTGGCTAGTGAGAAATGGCGAGTGAGAAATAGCTGGTGAAAAATGATTAGTAAAAAACGGCTAGTGAGAAAACTGTAAAGTTTAGTTTTTCAAGGTGTAATATCCATCAATAACAGGGGTTGCCAGCTTTATTATTCTTTGAAGAAAAATGCTATCTATATTTTTAATAATTTATCTCTTTGTATAAAATATATAATATTATAGTATTATAAATTAAATCAATAATCTATTCAATTGATAAATAGAAAGGATAGAAAACGCATTCTCAAAATAAATAATCATAAAGGATTCAGCTGCCTTTTGAATTATTACAAAAACAGTAGTATTCCATTTCTAACACTTTTCATCAAGTACAAATTGATTCGAAACCTTTTTAACTAAATGTTAAAAAGGGGCTTTTTTCAAAAGCAATTCGATCGATTTTTGATACTTTTTAATCTCTTGTAATATAACCACTATATTCAATTAGTAAGAAAAAAGCTTATAAATCAAGAAAAGGTTTATTTACTTCCCACTTTCCATCAATAAGCTTTTTTAGTAACTTCTGCTTTTCTTTTTTTAGACTGCTTTCTTGTACTTTGAATCTTTACTTTCAAAGCTTTCTTTATACTTTTATTTTTAAAAAAAGATGATTTTTTATTTATATCTAGCTCTTATTTATTTATTAATCTCTTTTCGATATTAGTATGTGATATAGCTTCCCTATATAGTGCATTTATAGTTTATATTACAGCTATAGGATTTCCTGGAATATAGTGTTTTCAAGATCTAGATTTAAATCATTTCAGTTTATTATAGAAAAGGTTTCAAATATTCAAGGGGTATATATCTAAAAAGCTTTAAGAATAGGGGTGAAAGAAATAAGTGTTGAAAAATTAAATATTTAGAAATATGTATTTATGAATTAATGTATTATATATTGTATAATTCAATTAATTATACTACTTATTTCTTATAGAATATAATTATTCCGAATATAAAAATATTACAAATAGTATAAATAATACGCTTTTAGGAATAATAATAATAATAATAATAAGTGTTATATTTATAATATTGAATCTCTTCTAAACTTCAAAGAATCAAAAAGATACTAGTAGTAATTAAATCTAATAAGAAAAAGCTATAGGGAAAACAAGAAGAATATTTGCAAAAGTAAAAAGCTAAAAATGTATGTAATCGAAAGGCAAGAATGATATTTAAAGAATTAGAAGTCGAAAAAGAGAAAGATAGAAAAAAGTATTAGATTTTCTATACTTTAAAAATACTTTGCAAAACTTCTGATTTTTTAAAGGTATTGAAGAATAAACAAGATGAAATGGTTGTATAAATTTAATTGAATATTGAAATGTAATAATCCCAATATATGGATTTAAATGAAAATCTGATTTTAATTAATTTTATTTAAAAAAGTGTTGAAGGCAAAAAACCTTATTCAAAATAATGATAATCTTATATCAGAATCTGAATTAGATAATTCCGAAACAGATTTTGAGAATTGGAAAGTTGATATTGATAAGAAAGAGGAAAAGGAAAAGAAGGAATCTGATGATAAAAAAAAGAATAATAAAGTTAGAGAGTTTGAAAAGATTGATTTGAAAGATTTGAATATCAATTAAGAATTAAAATAAGTATGAAGGTGTAATGTTTATTGGTTTTATAAATGCTAATATATAAGTTTAGGCAGTTGGACTTTCTGGGATTTTGATTTGGATTAGAGTTTGGAAAGTTAGTGTAAAGTAGTTTATAACTAATTTAAAAAATCTAAATAAAAAAATTGATAAAGAATCTTTGGATTTTTTATGGGTAAAGATTCGTTTGGGTAGGTTTATTTTGATTTTTTTTTTATTAATTATTTCTTTCTAGCTATTTTTCATTTACTATCCCTTATTTATTATTATATCAAATTATTAATATATTAATAGAGTATATTTGTATCCTAATAAACTCTCTTATAAAATATTTAGTTGTTGATAATGTGCTGTTTGGAGAAATCTTGCTTCTTGGAATTCTGATATTTTGAAGCTAGAGGAAGAAAGTAATATCAAGCTTTCTGGATCTAAAGAATAATAGATCTCTAATAAGAGTTATAATCCAAAAAGATATGGATTTTGAATTTCTAAAGATGGGGTGAGATATAAGCAAGCTTGGAATCTACTTTATTATACAAAATAGAAAGAAGATCTCTCTCAACTCCTTAAAGAATTCGAAGAAATACCAAAAGCTATGACAAAAGATAATGGTAAATAGAGAAACCCTGATGATTACTTTCTATTCTAATTATATGTACTTATCAAATTCTATTTCAATATAATATTGCTTTTCTTTTTCTCACACTTTTCGAACTCTTTTCATCTTGCAATAATCTCTCTATATAATCTCTACAATTCCTTATCGAAAGTAGTTTATAGATTGTGACGAAATAGAGTTTAATTTGTTATTGCTTAAATTCATTATTGTATTATTTATAGTACTTAGAATATAATCGATAATACAATCAAATTGAATTTCGAATAGATCTTTTTCGAAGCTATTTTATCGAATAAAGTTATATAAAGCGTACAAAGCATAAACTATATGTATTTGAATTATATATGAGTATTTTTGTTGTTGTATTAGAAATGGAAAGCGTATTTTGAATACTTTAAAAATTCTTTCAACCTTATTTCGTAAAAAAGAATATCGAAGATTGAAAAGCTCTTCTGATATTTTGGATATCTTATTGAATCCCAATTGCTTTTATAAATAATATTTTACCCCTTTAAATAAAATAAGAATCTACCTAGTATTTATATATCCTACATCACCTAAATAATAATAATCTTCT